CCGTGCCGCGGCTCCCCTCCACCAGGCCTCACATTTTTTCTCAGTCGACGAGAAGGGGCTGCGTGTGACAGCACCCATGTCCTAGATGTGTGGCAGCCCTGTTGTGGGGTGACAAGGGGAATTTCCCCCACTGGGATCCTGGAGGAGACATCGGGGGGGACTTTGCTCCCTCCCTCTCTTCCCGGGGCGTCTGCTTGTGTCTCTAGTGTTGGGATAACACTGCTCATTTAGAGCGGCGATTTTGTTCTTTCACATCTTTTTGTTTTTAAACATGAATTAGAGCAATATCCCAAGGAATGTTTCCGCCTGGCTCCGGCGGAGGAGCAGGACACGGCGGCTCCGGCAGGACCTTCAGAGGGCACGGCCGGCTCTGCCCCGGGTGGATATATCTGAGATCAGTACCTATATGTCCGGACAAAACTTTGAAGGGGGGTTTTCTCCGCTCAGACCCTGAACACGGCCCTTCTGCCGCCAGCTCCTTCCCCCGGCCGCCGGCCAAGGGGGAGGTCGGGTGGGGACCCTCCCCAATTAAAACGAAGTAGTTAAAAAGCCCTAGGGTTTCCCCGCTGCTCCTACTTTATCTCGCTGCGTTTCCCGAGGAGAAACCTCCCGGGCTTGTTTCCCCCATCCTCTGCCTGCAGACTCGCACTGCCCCCCAAGCCCCCGGCCTCGGCGGGTGGGGGCGAAGGCTCCCGTCCTGTGCCCCGACGGGACGGGCAGCACCTTACCTGTTCTTAGCCGCTGCTGCCCTGTCCCTTTGCCTGCGGTTTTTGAACCAGTTGCCCACTTGCGTGGGGGTAAGTCCCGTGGCCTGAGCCAGTTCCCGCTTTTTACTGGGGTTGGGGTAAGGGTCCTGCAGGTACCACTCCCGCAGCAAATGCCTCGTCCGCTCCTTGAAGCAATGTGTCTTCTGCTCGCCGTCCCAGATGGTGCGGGGCAGCGGGAACTTCTTCCTCACCCGGTACTTGTCCACCGGCCCCAGGGGTCGGCCCCGCAGCTTCTCCGCCTCCTGGTAGTGCGATTCCAGCCAGAGGGCTTGCAGTTTGGCGTGGGACTCCTTGGTGAACTTGTGGTTCTCCAGGATGTGGTAGAGCTCCCGGTAGTTCCCCGTGTGGAAGGCCACGATGGCCCGGGCTCTCAGCACCGACTCGTTCTTGTTGAGCGCCTCGCAGGCCGCAGGGGCCACGGGCAGGGACCAGAGGAAGCGCCCCAGGCGCTCGATGTCCCCGCTCTCCTCCAGGGTCTCGCATACCCCGGCCACCTGCTGCGGGCTGAAATTGAGGATGGGCAGCTGGAACATGGAGGCGGCGCCGGCTCCGCTCCGC